ATCGCCCCCTGCCAGCTCTCCTGAGGCTGCAGCCTGCAGGTGAGCCTCCCTCCTCGGAGGAGTGGCCCCATGCAGAGTGGCTGCCTGCTGCGTGGAAGGAGGTGCCAGACCTGATGCTGGACTGCCCAGCTCTGTGGGTCCATGTTGTTTGGGGGGAGGAGCAGTGCCAGGGCACCATATGTTTCATTGTAAATCCACCTCTGCTGCTGGGAGGTGCTCAACTGGGAAGCCATAAATGTGGCCAACTCCAGCCCCTTCCAGCAGCACAGAGACATCAGCCCATGGGATAGCCACACAGGTGGCACCACTCACCATAGGAGAAAGGATCCTGGTGTCCATGGCCAGCTGGGGAGAGAAGAGAGAGAGAGAGATGTACCAGTGAGCTGCCCCACAAAGGACTCATTGAGCCCTGGAATGCATCCACCTCTGGGGTGGGGTAGCTGGAAAACAGCCATACATAATGAAGTGCAAGATTTTGGGAGAGGGAGGCCCATGACCCCCATGTTATTCACTGCAGCATGATCATTGCTACAGGGTAGAGGCGAGCTCCTGGCAAACCAGTAACACAAGCCAGGGTTCACAGCCTAGTCCACACTAGCCTTGGTGGCCTTGGGCAAAGGGTCCTGCAATTTGCAAAGCCATCGAAAGTCTAGTGAACAGCGTAACATCTCCAGCAAGCCCTTGTCCAGTTCCCCCTTACTCAACTCCCCAGTGACGCTCACTCTGCCCCACCCCTGACACAGTGCCCCCGAGAGCTTCACTCTGCTTCCTCCTCCTCCCCCTGGCACAGCATCCCAGTAACCCTTACTCTGCTCCCCCCCTGCCCTGCACAGCACCCAGAGAGTCGCCTTTCTCCCCCTTACACAATGCCCTCCATTGAGCACCCTGCATCCCACTTCTTTCTGCATTGTGCTCCCAGGAATCCCCTGTCCTCTCCCTACAGCCCATCTCCTCCCAGGGATTCCCTGCCCCTTCTCCTACAGCTCATCCCTCCCACCCTGCTCCCAGCCGTCCCTCCCCCCCTGCTCCCAGCCGTCCCTCCCCCCCTGCTCCCAGCCGTCCCTCCCCCCCTGCTCCCAGCCGTCCCTCCCCCCCTGCTCCCAGCCGTCCCTCCCCCCCTGCTCCCAGCCGTCCCTCCCCCCCTGCTCCCAGCCGTCCCTTCCCCTCTGCTCCCTGGGATACCCCTCCCACAGCCTATCCCTCCCACCCCCTCCCCACACCCCATGCCCCCCTCCATCCCACTCTCAGGGATCACTCCGCCCTGTCCTCTCCTCCACGCCACAGCCCATCCCTCCTACCCCCTTCTCAGGGATCCCTCTCTCCCCAAAGCCCATTCCTTCCACCCTGCTCCCAGGGCTCCCCCCTGTCCCCTCCCCACAGTCCACCCCTCCCACCCTGCTCCTGCTGCGCTGTCTGTTGGGTTGGCGCTGCAGGGATGAATAAAGCAAACTCCAGTGGCGGTGGAGGGTTGCCATGGAAATAAGCACATCAGGAGCCTCCCTATCCTCAGCTGGCTCTGGAGAGAGGGGGAATCGTGGACCTGGCACGTGGCCGTCGCATGCGGGGACCGGCCCTGGCGGCTGTGCCAGTGCCCTCCCCTCCCGACCCGCAGCCCCCGGCCTCCGAGCCCTGAGCCTGGTGCCCCTTGCTCCCGACCCGCAGCCCCCGGCCTCCGAGCCCTGAGCCTGGTGCCCCTTGCTCCCGACCCGCAGCCCCCGGCCTCCGAGCCCTGAGCCTGGTGCCCCTTGCTCCCGACCCGCAGCCCCCGGCCTCCGAGCCCTGAGCCTGGTGCCCCTTGCTCCCGACCCGCAGCCCCCGGCCTCCGAGCCCTGAGCCTGGTGCCCCTTGCTCCCGACCCGCAGCCCCCGGCCTCCGAGCCCTGAGCCTGGTGCCCCTTGCTCCCGACCCGCAGCCCCCGGCCTCCGAGCCCTGAGCCTGGTGCCCCTTGCTCCCGACCCGCAGCCCCCGGCCTCCGAGCCCTGAGCCTGGTGCCCCTTGCTCCCGACCCGCAGCCCCCGGCCTCCGAGCCCTGAGCCTGGTGCCCCTTGCTCCCGACCCGCAGCCCCCGGCCTCCGAGCCCTGAGCCTGGTGCCCCTTGCTCCCGACCCGCAGCCCCCGGCCTCCGAGCCCTGAGCCTGGTGCCCCTTGCTCCCGACCCGCAGCCCCCGGCCTCCGAGCCCTGAGCCTGGTGCCCCTTGCTCCCGACCCGCAGCCCCCGGCCTCCGAGCCCTGAGCCTGGTGCCCCTTGCTCCCGACCCGCAGCCCCCGGCCTCCGAGCCCTGAGCCTGGTGCCCCTTGCTCCCGACCCGCAGCCCCCGGCCTCCGAGCCCTGAGCCTGGTGCCCCTTGCTCCCGACCCGCAGCCCCCGGCCTCCGAGCCCTGAGCCTGGTGCCCCTTGCTCCCGACCCGCAGCCCCCGGCCTCCGAGCCCTGAGCCTGGTGCCCCTTGCTCCCGACCCGCAGCCCCCGGCCTCCGAGCCCTGAGCCTGGTGCCCCTTGCTCCCGACCCGCAGCCCCCGGCCTCCGAGCCCTGAGCCTGGTGCCCCTTGCTCCCGACCCGCAGCCCCCGGCCTCCGAGCCCTGAGCCTGGTGCCCCTCGCTCCTGACCTGCAGCCCCCGCCCTCCCAGCCCCTGAGCCTGGTGCCCCTCGCTCCCGACGCACAGCTCCTGGTCTCCCAGCCCTGGTGGCAGGGGCTGGCGGGGGGAGGGGGGGTATCGCCCACAGATGGAGCGAGGGCTGGGCATAGATAAGATGCGGAATCCCCCCCACCCCCACGATGCCTGCAGGGCAACTGCGGCCGGGACCTGAGTGGGCTGAGGAGGCCCAGAGGCTTCCTGGGGCTGGGAGGGGAGGGGAAGCCCCAGAAGCCATGGATCTGTCCTACTGATGCGCCCACCCTAGCATACCTGTCTCTTAGCAACCGGGGTGGGGACAGGGACTTTCCTCACCCTCCTCTCTCCAATTTCCAACTTGGGTTCCCGTGCTCACCCCACCCCCACCACACTACACGACCCATGAAGTCAGCACTGACTGTGAGGGGACAGCATCCCTACAGCCCAGTGACCCCTCCTGGTCCCTACCCACTGCCCTCAGCCCAGCACCCTCCTCCTGTGCCCCATCCACTGACCGTAGCCAAGTCTACACCCACCTACCACAGCACAGTGTCCCCTATTGTGCCCCTGCAGCCCAGCACCCCCTGCTGAGCCCCCGTCCCACTCTCTGCATCGTGGTTCTCTCTAGCACCATGCTGGACCATTAGCATCAGCACTTACTGTCAGGGCGACTCCATGTTTCCCTGTTGTGCCTCTGTGGGGTTTCCTGTTTGCTTCCGCCGAATTGCTGCCCCCAACTTAGGCAGCAGGATCAGCACCTGGGTGAAGGGGAGGGGGCTCTGGCACCTTGAGCTGGATGCACTGCCTTGCCCATAGGCCAGTGCCACCTGCAGGATCCCACCCACTGCCCATAGCTCAGCACCCCCTGGCAGAGTCAGGGCCCAGATCTGACCCTTGGAGTCTGTTTGGCTCCAACCATCCCTGGGATTCCTCTTCCTGCTTCGGGCTCTTCAAGCAAACCAGCCATGCCCTTGTCCAGCAGCAGGGCAGCCTCCAGCTATGGTCCCTCAGCCCAGACACTGCCAAAGCCTCTGGGACAGCTGGAAATGCCCTCAATGGGACCCACCCAGCAATGTTGCCTGAGTCTGCCAGAGCCTGCACCCATTGCTGGGAGAGGCATGGGCTCTTCTGTTCATCCCAAAAGGATGTTACTCCTGAAGCCTAGTGACAAGTGCAGATGCCCACAGACCCCTACAGTGCTGCTCTGGCTTATTAGTACACAAACTGAGGGGTGGCTGTGAGAAGGGGTCACAGAGAGGGGGAGGGTGTCTAGTGTGTGAGAGCACAGGGCTGATGCTGTTGAAGGAGTCTGTGAACTGTGTGTGTAATCCACAGTGGCTACAGCTGTGATGGAATTATACTGCTAATTTGAGCTGCACAACAGCTTCCAGAATTCACTATGCACAACTGCATTTGTGTGTAACACAGACAGCACAGTGTGTGTACACAAGCACCCTGTGCAGAGCATACTGCACAGATCACACATAGTGCAGAGGATGCACACACACTACACAGAGAATACATACACATCCTGCAGAGTTGAACTCACACACTGCAGAGTGGAACACACATTGCATAGAGTGGGCACATATGCTGCATAGCGCGGAACACACACTGCACAGAGCCGGTGCACACACATACTTCACAGAGTGTGTGCACACTGCACAGAGCGGCCACACACATGCTGCACAGAGCGGACGGGGACAGACACACACACACACACACACACTCCTGCAGAGTTGAACTCACACACTGCAGAGTGGAACACACATTGCATAGAGTGGGCACATATGCTGCATAGCGCGGAACACACACTGCACAGAGCCGGTGCACACACATACTTCACAGAGTGTGTGCACACTGCACAGAGCGGCCACACACATGCTGCACAGAGCGGACGGGGACAGACACACACACACACACACACACACACACACTTCTCTCTCTCTCTCACACACACACACACACACACACACGCAGGCATTCAGTCGGCCGCAGATACTCCCCCCATCCCTGCGGGTGGGGAGGGAATCTGGGCAGCGCAGCCAGCCGCAGAGCCACGGCGCAGCCAGCACGAGCTCAGCTGCCAGAGAGCAGCGCTCCCCCTCCCCGCCCAGCACACCCCGCCGCCCGGTGCAGACGCTCAGTGCGCACTCGCAGCACACACCCTGCACCACTCCACTGCCCCCCGCCGCCTTTGCACACTCCACTGCCCCCCACTACACAACGCTGCTACACAACCCTTCAGCATGCATACCCCTCTTGCACAACAGCCCACTGCACACACAACACAGCCCCAACGCAACAGCCTGCTGGGGAGAGGCACACTGCACCACCAGAACATGCCGAAACGCCATTCTCCTGAGTTACGAAACTCTCACACAGTAGCATTTACACCGACACTCCTCACAACCACACACCCCCTCACCCAGCACACATTGCCACCGCCGCACAAAAATGTACAGGCACACAAATTGTCAGGCCTTCACAATCTGACACCGAGTCAAACATCCTACAGCGCGCGTGCGCGCGCGCACACACACACACACACACACACACTGGGGGAGGACACAGAGCCCGACAATCCACATAATTGCACCCTCAGACAACACTCTCACGCACACAAAGGCTGCCGTGCGTGACCCAGTAACGCGCTGTATCATTGGGTGTACCTCACACTCAGTCACTCCCCGAGCGTGCGCTCTCACACCCCTGCACACGCACACAGCCTGCAGTAACTCTTTGGGAACTACCGGGAAAGGGACAGAGAGAGTGCACTTCCTGCCTGAACCTCACACCACACACACAACCTCGCAGAGACTACAGATTACAGACACTACCCACACAGTTCGTCCCACGTACACTTACTCAGTGTACACCTCAGGTTCTATACACACAGCACTGCATACATCTGCACACACTTATACTTGTGCACACGTGCACACACCTGCACGCGCACACACACTTGCACATGCACACACCTGCACACGAACATTCCCGCACACACTCATATGCACACTCCTGCACACGTGCACATTGCTGCACATGCACTCACACATACGCACCTGCACATGAACACATACACTCCTGCACACTCAGGCACATTCCTGCACATGCACGCGCACGCACACTCTTCCACACGCGCACACCTGCACGGCTCACTGTTCCTGAGCCGAGACTGGCAGCCGAAGCCTAGCGAGAGACATCGCCCCGCCCCGCCCCAGCTCCCATGGGTTCCCCAGCCTGGTCCCGAGCCGCTCGGGCTTCCCGTCATGGGCAGCCCGTGCCCAGCAATGGCTGAAGCTGTAAGAACCCAGAAGCCAGACAGCCCCGATCCCTCCCTCCCCGGCGTACACCTTCCCGCTCGCCCTCAGCCCCTTGAGCAGCGCCGCATGCCCGGGGTGCTGCGTGGACAGGATGTGGGATCCTTAGGCACCAGCCTGGCTTCCTGGACATTGGGGGTGAGTCTGGCATGGTGGGGAAAGGGCTGGGATGCCAGGGCCGGGCACTGCTGGCTTAGGGGCAGCAGGGGGCTGGGATGCCAGGGCCGGGCACTGCTGGCTCGGGGGCAGCAGGGGGCTGGGATGTCAGGTTTCATGAACTCTGGGAGCCCTGGTACTGTATTGGCCTCAGCACCAGCCTCCCTACTGGTAACGCCTGGGTGCCTGTTCTTGCAGCAGGGACATCAGGGACCTGGGCACTGAGGGGATAGGGGAATCAGGCACCATGGGTACAGGGGAACTGGGTGCTGTGGGCACAGGGAGGCTCTGGCACAGGGGTACTAAGTGTTGTGGGCACAAGGAGGGTCTGCCACAGTGGAATCAGGTGCTGTGGGCACGGGGTCTGGCACAGGAGAATCGGGCACTATGGGCACAGGGAGAGTCTGGCACCGGGGGACCGGATGTTGTGGGCACAGGGAGGGTCTGGCACAGGGATACCAGGGGCTGTGGGCACAGGGAAGGTCTGGCACAGGGATACTGGGGGCTGTGGGCACAGGGAAGGTCTGGCACAGGGATACTGGGGGCTGTGGGCACAGGGAAGGTCTGGCACAGGGATACTGGGGGCTGTGGGCACAGGGAAGGTCTGGCACAGGGATACTGGGGGCTGTGGGCACAGGGAAGGTCTGGCACAGGGATACTGGGGGCTGTGGGCACAGGGAAGGTCTGGCACAGGGATACTGGGGGCTGTGGGCACAGGGAAGGTCTGGCACAGGGATACTGGGGGCTGTGGGCACAGGGAAGGTCTGGCACAGGGATACTGGGGGCTGTGGGCACAGGGAAGGTCTGGCACAGGGATACTGGGGGCTGTGGGCACAGGGAAGGTCTGGCACAGGGATACTGGGGGCTGTGGGCACAGGGAAGGTCTGGCACAGGGATACTGGGGGCTGTGGGCACAGGGAAGGTCTGGCACAGGGATACTGGGGGCTGTGGGCACAGGGAAGGTCTGGCACAGGGATACTGGGGGCTGTGGGCACAGGGAAGGTCTGGCACAGGGATACTGGGGGCTGTGGGCACAGGGAAGGTCTGGCACAGGGATACTGGGGGCTGTGGGCACAGGGAAGGTCTGGCACAGGGATACTGGGGGCTGTGGGCACAGGGAAGGTCTGGCACAGGGATACTGGGGGCTGTGGGCACAGGGAAGGTCTGGCACAGGGATACTGGGGGCTGTGGGCACAGGGAAGGTCTGGCACAGGGATACTGGGGGCTGTGGGCACAGGGAAGGTCTGGCACAGGGATACTGGGGGCTGTGGGCACAGGGAAGGTCTGGCACAGGGATACTGGGGGCTGTGGGCACAGGGAAGGTCTGGCACAGGGATACTGGGGGCTGTGGGCACAGGGAAGGTCTGGCACAGGGATACTGGGGGCTGTGGGCACAGGGAAGGTCTGGCACAGGGATACTGGGGGCTGTGGGCACAGGGAGGGTCTGGCACAGGGGAATCGGGTGCTGTGGGCTCAGGGAGGGTCTGGCTCAGGGGAATCGGGCACTGTGGGCACAGGGAAACTCTGGCACTGGGGAATCGGGTGCTGTGGGCACAGGTCGAATCTGTGCATCAGGGGCTACAGGGCCCCTGGTGTGGGTTTCGGGGGAGCTCACCATGCCTGGGTGCCTCGGTGGGGGTGGCCATCCTGCAGCCGTGGGTCTCTCCCTTCACAGGCACGAATGCGGCAGAGTCCGAGAGGGAGGGAGAGACCGGGCGGGAAGCAGCTTTTTTTTCCGCTGCGTATGGAGGAGGGAGGCAGCCAATGGGAGCCAGATGCAGCTAAACTCCCGGGCTGGGAAGGGAGATACGCATGGCTCTGTGGGGAGGAGGCAAGGCCTCCAGCTGCCCCTGCTTCACTGCCCCCCACCTAGAGCTCAGCTCTACCTCACTGTCTGCTGCCTATAGGGCTTTCTGAACAATCTATACAGGGACAGGTCATGTACCGAGATGCAGCCACCTCAGGGCAGGGCAGCAGGGGAACAACCACACATAACAACACAGGGAGGCAGCTCTCCTGGTGCTGAGTGGGCAGTACCAACCTTCTAGGACTGGCCTGGATTTTTCAAGAATTAAAGATTAAGCTTTAATTAAAGATGTGATGAAATCTCCAGAAATACATCCAAGCAAAACTGGCAACCCTAGTGCTGAGAAGCAGCCACCTCTGGAGTGGGGCAGCTGGGGAACAGCCACAGATAATGCCACAGCAGGATAATAATGCCCAGCGTTGAGATGTAGCCACCTCTGGGGCAGGGCAGCCTGGAAACAGCCACCCATAATGCCACAAAGGGACAGCTTGTCTGAAACTGAGATGCAAACACTTCTGGGGTGGAACAGCTGGTGAACAGCCACACATAATGCCACAGCCGGGTAGCTCATTTGGCACTGAGCTGCACATAATCCCCACCCCCCACCATCCCAAAGCTGCCTCATGTCAGCCTCTCAAAGTGCTAGGTTCTGCCAAAGATGCCCAGACACCCTCCTCCTACAAACTCCCCTCCCACACAGATCCACAGTGAGACAGTCCCTGCCCCAAATAGCATTCAGCGTAAATAGCCATGTTGGGAAAGAAGAA